TTTGGCATACTATCTGGCATATCTTCTTGCAGCATTCTATCTGGCAAACTATCTGGTTGAGGTCCAGCGGTGCACACTGCGATCGAATCCTTGCGGTTGAGGCCCAGCGGTGCACACTGCGATCGGATCCTTGCGGTTGAGGTCCAGGGGTGCACACTGCGATCGGATCCTTGCGGTTGAGGTCCAGGTGTGCACACTGCGAGGGGATCCTTGCGGTTGAGGTCCAGGGGTGCACACTGCGATCGGATCCTTGCGGTTGAGGTCCAGGGATGCACACTGCGATCGGATCCTTGCGGTTGAGGTCCAGGGGTGCACACTGCGAGGGGATCCTTGCGGTTGAGGTCCAGGGGTGCACACTGCGATCCGGAGCTGGCCAGACAAGATCGGCGAAGCAGATTGGCGATGAAGATTGGCGATGAAGATTGGCGAGGAAGGAAGCAAGGAGGAAGGAAGGAAGGAAGGAAGGAAGGAGGAAGGAAGAACAACTGTGATAAAATCTAACAACCCTCACCTGGCAGGTGCGGAATAAAAGGACTCATTACTTAAATTCATCAAATCTCAATGGGAAATCTATAAAATTTCAATGGAGTTCTGCATCCAAAGACCTTCAAAGTCATCAAATTCCAGTGGAAATCTATAAAATTTCAATGGACATCTGCCTCTAAAGACCTTCAAAATCATTAAATTCCAATGGAAATCTATAAAATATCAATGGACATCTGCATCCAAAGACCTTCAAATCTCTAGACATTATTCTAGGGGCCCCCCTAAATAATGTCAGAACCACCCCCCTTTGCTTGAATGATTTTTTTTTGTTTTTCAATACTGTTGAATAAGGGATTTTGTAAAGAAGGTGCGCACTGACTCTAGGAAACTTTCGGAAAGCTGAAAGACTAAAGAGCTTAGGAAAAGTAAATAAGGAATAGAGGGTGAGTAAAGCAAATCAAAAGGCAAAATAAAGGAACAACGATTTAAGGCCTCAAATCTCTAGACATTATTCTAGGGCCCCCCCCCAAATAATGTCAGAAAGCTGCTTGCTGGACTACCCCCTTTGCTTGAATGATTTTTTTCGATACTTTTGAATAAGGGATTTTGTAAAGAAATATTCAACTGTTTAATAGAAATCTCCATCCAAAAGCCTCCAAAAGCATCAAATCTCAATGGACATCTTCAACTGTTTAATAGAAATCTCCATCCAAAAGCCTGTAAGATAAGCAAATCTCAGCAACGTCAGAAGGGAAAAAGTAAGCTATAACAATAAAACATATCTTACTACAACTACCCCTCCCAAAAAAAAACTACATTATTCTGGGGGCCTTTATTAATCTGTGCAGGAAACAAAAAGTCACTATTCTGGGGTACTTGATTCATCCAAGGAAAACATTACTTCTGCTCTAGCTGTGCTATACGCTTCCACTACGTCCTCTCGTGAGTACGGGTCACCAGGCTACAGTTCTGCAACGAGGACACGCTCCTACATCGACTCTGGGAACCCTGCGGCAGTGTTGGATTCTATTAGCTCCTCTGGGTCTCTAAACCATCTCCCGCACGGGCTCTTCGGGAAGTACTCCATATTACTCCATCTTCTCCAGCCTCCAAACAACAGGCCTGTGTTCCGCTACTTCTAGCATAGCGCCACAGAGTCTTTTGTTGGTAAGGGTGTCAAGTACTGTGTCGAAGCCTAGCTCCCTTCTAGTTTCTCTCCCCCGACTGCGAGTCTGCCCGGCTGGTTCATCAGCTTGCCTCTTCCTGTTTGCAGCCGCCTTGCCGGATGCATTCAGTTCCGTTGTCTTGCTTACCCCTGGGTTCTCCTTGTCTGGCGGGCAGGCCACGGTGTGCCTGCCGTGTTTTGCTGATGCTGCCCCCCCCCACCCTCGTCAAGAGGCCTTTGTACGCCACGCTCTTTGCCTTGCGTGCCCACAGGCGGAGTGAGGTTGTTGCACGCCTCGTGCTCTGGCGTTAAGGATGCACCGTGAGTGCGCGGGTGTCCGAACATCACGTGTCTGCCGATGTGTGCTCAACATCACGTGCTTACTTCTTGTCCGGCTTCTCTGCCCTATGGCAGCTCAAGGCAGACAAGGGTGGGCCCAGCCCTGCGCCACGGGCCGCTCAGCGTATGTGCCGTGCTACTCTATACTGTCGCCCCCGCTGTCTGGCGTAAGCCCCTGAAATTACAGTTGAAGTATGTAAGCCTCCATCCCACAATCGACCATACAGCGACTTACAGTACCTTTGCGACACATATTGGCTATATAATACTATATATGTGTAATTCTCACATGTATCCCTGAAGCATAGATTGACCAAGAATCAAGAAACGAAACATAGATGCCACATGTCACAAGATGTCACAAGTACTGAGCGCCATCTTCTTCCACCAAACAAAAGTACAGTATGTTCTGAGAGGACAACAACTCTTGTTGTCTTGGTGTGTAAATTTCTCGGTTTTGGTGTCCAGCATTTACATTTACATCATTTTACATCTACGTTTGACATCCACATCCTGGGCCGTCCAGCTTGCTCCTGAGCTTTCTTTAGCTCTTCTCCCCTCATGGTGCCCAAGATCTCCTCCTCAAGCCTCGACGGTAGTGGTGTGTTTCAAACGAGCGAATCCCTTGTTTGACTGACTGGGCCATGGGAGCAGCAACCATATCCAACATCTCATGTCAGGAGTAGCAAACCAACGAACCTTGTCCATCAGGACATATGATCCAGACGACCTTTGGTTCTTGAAGGACAAACTCACCTTTGGTTCTTTGGGGTGGCTAGCAGATCTTGAAGGCATCTCCAACACCCCCAACATGGGCGCGTCTTGGAACGAAGGGAACTATGAAGAAGCACGTGTTCTCATTGGTCAACAGGTTTGGTTTGCTGGCCCGCCAATGCCAGGAGTGGTCCGCGGGGTCGGATGAAACGGTCCATGCGACCCTGCTTCATCCGACTTCTTCTGATTTTTACCCCTTCCTGTGGATCAAGGGGCGGAGCCTACAGCACATTGCGGTGACTACAGCACAGGCCTACTCTGGTTTCAATCCGATGTGGCAGGCCTTCTGAGTAGGGCCACGTCAAGAGCTTTCTTTTTCCCCGGACAGCTATAACGATGCTGGAACGCTCGCGAAGGTGTCAAAAGCATCTTTTTTGCACAAAGACGAATTGAAATCAAACGCGAAGAGGTTTCCTCCTAAACATATGATGTTCTTTAGGAATCCAATCAAATCCTCTCTTTGCGAGCATGATGCTAACAGCTGGGACCCAACACTCTTGAAGGAGAAAGACTCACCAAACATTGCTGCGTCGCATAGCATCGTCTCAGACTGCTCGCCTCCCAAACTGCTTGCAATCCTCCACAACAGCAGTGTAGTCTTGCTGAAGCAAGTGACACCTGGACCGGAAAGGAGACTCCCCCACCGTTTTTTCGGCCGAGGTGGTGGGTCAATTCCGGCACGGTGTCCAATACATGTTCTACGTGGGGATCTCATTTTTATCTGTTTGGGAATCTACAATATCCGCCGACCCCTTGCGACTGCAAGGGGAGCGCGTGAGAGAAGGTACGAGTTCTCATGGTGTGGATGGTTCGAGTTGATTTGAAGAACATTCGTGACACATGTCAAACTTCGTCCTCCAAGCGAAGGCATGCCAGCTCACATGTGTGTTCACTGCTTGTTTCAGAGGTGTTGGGGTACTGAAGGTTCCAGGACTGCATTGCCAAACACTAAGACTATAGTTGACCATAGTGAGCGATGTCGGGGGCCATGTCGGAGGCGTGGTGATCTGTGGATCTCCCGTGTGATCACACGCCATTCTCCATGTCATGTCGACAGGCACGTCAAACCCCATGAGAACCTCAGCACTGTCATGACCCCAGCTGCAATCAGGGCTTGGTAGAAATTCAAGTTGTTACTGATATATGGTTCCTGATTTTACGGATTGGAGTACCGTGTGCTCGCCTGATTATGCGGCCCTTGGGGAAGTGTCCCGTCGCCCTGCAAGTTGTCTCCAAGTCCTTCGCCTGATGTAGCATCTTGATCAACAAAATACCCCCATTTGGATTGCACCATGCTTCATAGAGGTGTTATTCATCAACCGTCTGTCGCGACAGAGGCCTGTTCTCACCAAGTTGGACATCGGTCCAATGGTCGAAATCGCGTCCAATCGGGCGATCCTTGGATTTGCTTCGATCGCCGGGACCAATGACACATATTCTGAAGGGGATGTACCCGATGTACCCATACCCCTAGTCCTAACAATCCATGGAATATTTACCTACCTTGGGGTGGTTGAAAAAAGGGTCCAATGTACCTTCCCAGTGACCTTTTGAGATCCCAGAATGAGGTCACGAAACGGCCTTGACAAGGTCACTTACAAATCCTGAAGAGGTCACTCAAGATCCGATCCTGGTAGGTCAATATTACATACATGGATTGTCTGGGAAAGGGGAAACAAGATCCGATCCACAAAGCCCAGCAAAGCAACCAAGCACTGGCTGTTTGGATGGCTGGCCCACGGATGGCTGCTTGGATGGGAACCCCATTTCCGGACGACAGGAGGCAGGTTCCCCTGTCACGCTGGGGTGTCATTTAGGCTACAAGAAGTCAACACCAAGTAATTTTAACACACGTTGAACCACACATTGGAGGTTTATTTCCACACTCAAAACCAAACTTAACCTAACAATTCTGTTCCTTCCACGAGCACAACAACATGAGATCGATCAGAAGAACGCCTCGTCCCGCGACCGATCATGATCGGCGCCTGGCGCGGATCATCGAAGTCAAACAGTGTAGCTCCTGGAGAAAGAGCTGAGCAAAACGAGAATTCGCGAATTGACCCACTGTGTGTGTTTTTTTACTTATTTTCAATACGGTACAAATGTATATATTTTTATATATAGTACAATTTATAGTTATACTTAATACAATACGTCTTTTCTTGGAGTATGTTTTAATAGTTTAATGTAATCTTAATATAATTCATATCAAGGATTTTGTGTATATAACTATAATATAACATGGAAGTGGAACATAGGCCCAGAAGACCATGTTCGACCATGTAGTCGTGGGTTTTCGCACCCTGTCAAACCCCTGGAGTCCAGGCCCCTCAGCATTGTGGTGGCTTCATGGAAGAGCTTTTACAACCACGGAAAACCCATGGGAACGACTTCAGTATACCCTGGGGCCCATGACAATGGGCTTTGCCCGACCATGTGTGGACGCTATTTCATGTAGACTTGTGAGAAAACGCCCGGGCATGTGGATTGTAACACTTTATTCACTGATTCACCAAGAGTCGACAGTCTACATTAAGTTAAAATACTTCGATGCGGCCGGAAAAGCAGCTCCAAAGCCGAACGTCCATGCCCTACACCGGAAACCACACCTGCGGCATCCTCCGGCGGAAGGAACATCCCAATCGGCAGCTCCTTGTTATCGTCCTGAAGCTTGCCACCTGCATGTGCAGAAGAAAGGGGTTTGTGTCTTTTTCAGATCCTCTGCCCAATTCATGCTCTGTTTGTATCCTCTGCCCAACACGACAAAAGATCCATGCTTGAGGGGCTTGTGTGTATCAGAATAGGGAGACAACAAACTGAAGGGTTTGTGTCTTCGCTGACTCTTGGTCAGCGAAGTGATGTCTTCAAGCGCCGATTTCAAACGATACCAACAATTGCCTTGTTCCAAAAGCTCCCTTTGGAAGTGCGCTGGCACTCCAAGTCTTTTGGGAGGCCCAATCATTGGCCACGATCGAAAGATCCACAACACAGCCAGGCCAGCTGAACCGAATAGAGGTTGTCACACAGATGAACATAGGGAATAGCTAGGGCATACTATAGGACATGTTCTGGGCATATATTTTGTGGTTGTGAATTAGGAAAATTGCAGCTTGTCATTTGATGGTTCAACATGGTTCAACCTCATCTGTATGGGTCTGGTAGTGAGATCATCGGTTTTGATCTGCATTTGAGATCTAGCAACTTGTATGTAAAATTTGTACTTACATCTCAGGTGAAACCGCATCTCCGTCATACTGGGAATCACTATTGATTGATGGGCTGAGAGTGCCTAATTTTTTTTTACTGGGCATTATAAGGCAGCGATTGTGGTGTATCTTGGAAGAACATCTGTCACAACGTTTGCATCAAGCACATCCTCGAGCAAAAAAAACATACAAACAATATGCACAGAAGGTCATGCACAAATTAAGCCAGGTTTCCATCCTGGAGGGTGCACGGAAAAAACAGAACACACATGTGGAACATGATGGTGGTCTACCGTTGCACCGCATCGAGGCGGTCCGTCCGGATGCCGTGCTGTTGATGGTTTTGCGGATGGCCCCTGCAATCAGCTAGCTAGCTTGCTGCGCCTGCGCCGCGCCTGTGCGCAACGCCCGCTGGAGGCTTTGCAAGGCGGCCTCCGCTTGTCCTTGCTGCAGCTGGGCCTCCGTGTCAGAGTCAGGCTGAGGCGGGGGACCCGGATGAAAACCAAAGCACATGGGGACCTCAGCAAACCCAGGAACCCTAAATGCAGGCCACATGTCATGATTCAAATGCCAAATTCCAACACACCCAGGTTTGTTTACAATGTGTTCTTCATTGTCCGACTACAAAGTCCCTGAGGGTGGAGTTGTGGCCTAAGCCTCTGTCAAGAAACAATTATATAAGGTGAGGTTGCCTGCAAACCAACATTTGCTAGGACATTTGAGGACCGTACGCTGTGTTTAAGTTTATATACTTGGTGGTGCTTTGAAGGCTCTTGAGAGTTGGCAGGCCACACCTTGGTAGCAAGGCAACCTGCTCAGCTATGCATCCCTAGTCAGCCTCGGTTGAAATGACACTTTTGGGGCACGGGTACTCAGGTGCTTCACCCAAAACATCGGCCGGTACGCGGGGTTTGTCAGGTCAGGTAATCTTCACCAAGAACAGCAGCTTCGGGGTAGATCCGTGAGCCTTCACGGTGGGATAGGATATCCCCATCCAAGCCCCAGCAGGTGGCGTGGCTCCATGCAATGGGTGGCTGCTCAAACAAACGCCAAATATGTCTTGTTCTTCTCAAACGACCAAACGACCCTCCATGTATGCACAGGCAACCGATGTGCAGAACATTGTAGCCTGGTCATTCTCCCTGGCCGCAATGATACTTCATCATCCACCCATAGGCCCACAGTCGACCGCTGGATTGGTCGACCCCCAAACCGGGTGGGTCTAGCCGCTGGGTTTACCTCAAAGCCGCGGCACAAACACCGGGTGCGCCTCAGCCTCTTGAAGGATCTGCACATGCAACTCCTGCAGCAGGAAAAACGCACCGCGTTAAGTGCGTCACGGGGCAGAAAGACTGAAGCATCAGCCGAAGATCCGTTGGGCCCGCAAACACAGCTCATGCCGACAAGGGCAAGGATGTTGGATGATGTTGGCAGGGTGGTTTACCCAATCCAAAAAGCCTCTGATAGTGCCAGACCTTGGTTATTCCTTGACTTTGGGGTCACTATATGGGGATGTTTAAACCGTGGGTAAAAGTGTGCGAATAGCGGTAGTCCCATTGGAAAGCCTTCAGATTGCCATGAAGATGCACCCTTGGGATGGAAGTTTGTAGGCGCTCGAAACCCCTCCAAAACCGGGGTGCCCTTGGCCATTGGTTCCTACCTGTTTGTTGGGAAGCTCCAGTTTGTCTGCCATAGTCATGTGCTGATTGGTCAGCTGCCTGGTTGCCAGGCAGGGCTCTCTCGGTGTTGCTGCTCAGCCTGTCCAAACCAACGTCGAAAGAATGGCCAACCTGATCAGGCCCTGGATGAAAAATCCCAAGGTCGACGATTGTGTGGATTGTGTCGAGTTCTTTTATGCCTTTGCCTTTCCTGAGTTTTCATGAACATTTTCCATACGGATCTGCGAGCATCCACTGTGGAATTCCCAATCTTGTTCTGGACTGGTGGACTCTGGTGGAACACTTGGACAGCCGTGATTTTCGCCTCACGTGTTGTGTATCTGCCGATGGGGCCCACTTCTGGTCAAAACCAGGATGCCTTGGTTGACCTACCGACTTGACTTGCGCTCCTGATCCTGCGATTGCCAAGGGCCCTTCACCATAGGGTGGGTGGCTGGGAGTTTGGTTGACCTACCTGGAAGATCAAGCTACATCGTGGACCAGGGCTCCAGGTTTTGACCTATCCCCACTTCTTTGTTCAAAGATGCCAGCAACAAATGCATACGCCAACTACCCTGATTGGTTGCTTTGTTGGCTGTGATTGGATTTCATCCGGGGAAATCTGGGTCCACATCTTGGACTCTACACTCCCTGAAATTATCATGGAAGTGGATGGCATGGCCCCGTGGATAACCATGTTCTACATTGAATTAATTATTTGGAATCAGTTTTGAATTACTCATGATCATCGCCTTGATTCATTTGAAAACTCTCCTTGTGCACAGCTCAACCAAACCCTTTGACTATCATTTCAAAACTAACAAACATCCGCTCCCAAAAAACAATTGACATCTTCCAACCCAGTAAAGCTCGTCTTCCAGCCATTCCCCCCCTCCAGCGCGGACGCCGAGAGCCAGGCTCCCTGTGGCCGACACCGAAGCAAACGGTCGCACCTCCGTGCTGGTCTGCACCCAGCCACCGAACCTGGCTGCGGTGCGGGGTTCCCGCACCGTGCAAGGGCAGAACACATCAGAAAACTCAAGCAGCCGGATGGAACCAGAACCAGGTGCTGGCATGTTTTTTTGCCACATCTATCGAAATAAGTAGATGCAGAAAGCAAATCCACATACACAAGGTTGGGAATCGGGAAGGGATCGATTTCTGGGACTCGACTACTTCGGAATCCGGTGCAACACTTGAGGTATCCAGATACAATCAAACAAACAAACAAACAAACAAACAGGAACCTAATTGTCTTCTTTCATGTGTTTTCTGTCCGTTTCTGATCTGTGAGGCTGGATGAAACGGAAACAAGTCCATTTTTGGCTTCGTCGAAAAAAAGAACATCGTGGACATGCCTTGTACCCGTTCTTCTTGAACGTTCTAGAGTGATTTTTTCGGGTCAAACGCCCCGAGCCTCATCTTCAGGGGTGAGGTTGGCAAAGCAGTGCCACTGTGGCTGTGGCTTGTTGGACTGGCCCTACGTGGTTCTGAAGAGAAAGCCAAAGGCAATCAACTGTACCAGCATTTGGGTCCGCAGTGAAACTCAACACTTCCACAGTGTGGCAGCAACGGGGATTGTGATCGAATGGCTGTGCGTCACAAGCCGCATGAGCGACGTGCGGTGCTGTGATTGAGACCGACTGCCATGAAGCAGCGAGCTGCGAATGAGGTTCAACTCCCAGTTTAGTACGTGAAAGCCCATGGCCAGGCCCGTGACTACCATCGCTTCACCCGGACTCTCAAGCAAGCTGTCACCATCAAAACGTTGTTGTGAAAAATGTTTCCGGCAACGTCACAAAGCCCTCTGACATTGTGACACCTGCGAAGTTGCGAATGTCGGCTGGAGATGATGTCATTGGTGAGGTCTTCTGGGGGCATCGTCTCCCCTGAAGCCAGGCAAGAAGCGTGGTGGTGAAGTTCCTGGATACACAGAAGAAAAACATGCAAGCACAGCCCAGCCAAGGTCATGGCTGCAGCAAGAAAGCTCGTGGACTTGAAGCATAAAAGACAAAGGACACAAGGTGGAATGAATGCAGTAGCATAACCAGCGAAAGGCGCAGCGAAGGGGGGAGCGTCGCGCTCATTGGAACGATCAAATCCAACTGGGCGCACATGAAAGGCATGAAAGGCGTCGGTGGCAAATCTGGATTGTGCACAGAATCGAAATCACATTTTGAGGCAGTGGAAATTCGGCGACACCTCTCTAAGTTGCAAATCTGAGCGATCAAAGACCTGCAGCAAAGAACTTTCTATTCTGTCACTCGTACCCCTGCTCCATGGTCCATGAGGAGGTCGCTGTGTTATAGGCCTGACTCATATGGTAGGCCTGACGCCTGACAGCCAATCTTGAGAGGTCCAGCTTTGTGCAAGTAGCTATTGTGGCATATTATGGCCACAACCATTGCACTTCCTGAGGTCAAAGAGCTCCCCACTAGAGCACCCGCTTTTCCTGTGGTGCCTCTACTTTTTGTTTTCAATTTTCACAATCTGCAACGCTCAGGGATTGTGGGCCGTGGGTCCTGTAAATTTGGGGTGCGCGCCCAAAATTCATCTTCTCCACGGTTTACATACATACATACTCAGAATAATAACTGTTCCACCTGTAGATCAAACCAAAAGTCAACTGCAGTAATTCATCCGCCGCAAAATTTTCATACGCTCATTGGATCTCGAAACTGCCCGGCCCAGCCCGGCCCTTGCCCAAGGAACAGCGGGATGACTCCGGCCACGCCTCTCATCCTTGGAGTCATCCAAGGCACACCACCCGTCCTGGAAAGTGTTGATGCGTGTCGCTGTCGCATTAGCCCTGAGATGAGATACGAAGATCACGGAAGTGAACACAGCAGGTGCCGGTGGTTTGTTGGACTGTGGTTTGCCGATGTGTTGGCCAAAAAAACCAGAGCGGTCCGGTAAGCCAAAGGCCGATATTCAACACGTTTCACCATCTTCATCCCTGATACCACTACGTATTAGACACATGGGGAGGGCTCAGATCCCTCTGTCGGCCAGCTACACCATTACCCCACTGCCCCATCTATCCAGCCACGTGCAGCCAGCCGGGCCGTGCAGAGCTTCTCCCCAACTTCTCCTGGCCCAAGAGCTTCTCCTGGCCCAAGAGGTGCGGAAGGAGTATCTCACAGACCCTGGGGCGACTTCACCATGTCCTCAGGTTCGGTGGTTGGACCGGCACCCACCCCAACCATCTTCTCAGGTAGTTGGAGCCCTAGGGAGACAACAGAAGCGTGTGACTTACTAACCGAAGTGTTTTAACTCACTAACTAACACTTCTGGGAGTATAGTGCGAGTGACGTTTTCGAACGGTGACGTGTTCTTGAGATGGCGTGGCTTCAACATGAAAGTTTTGCTCGACATGCAGTTACAGGGGGGGGTAGGTTGAGTGTGAGTTGGAGGTAAGTCATACTTCACCTTGCTTGGGGTGGTTGGGTCGCAGGGCCAAGAAGGAGGCCTACGTTACGTTGGTCCAAACAATTCCACATGCAGGTCCAGTCACTGGATGACCAAGTGGGGTCTACTCTATGGCAAGGGTCATGAGCCCAGCACCCAGGCGGTTGAATCCCTCCAGAAAACGCCCAAAACGGCGGCTCCCAGGAGCAAAAACAACGACAAATATCGAAAAATACCTCTTCCCCCCTGTGGCATCGGAACTTCCAAACCATCCGTGGGTGGTTTTCACAAGTGGCACTGGTGGAGTGTGACGTCACGTCCGCAGAAACGGTGGATCGATCTGGGCCCTGGGGTCTGGGTGATGGCAGGCATGCTCATAGATGCCAAGATAGTATGTAGACTTTATATTGGAGATCATTCAAGTGTCTGGGTATTGAGGTCATGAACTGAAGCATGAGATGATATATGAGGTCCATGATGTGGGACCTGATCCTGATTAAACCCCACTGGACCCCCACTATGGAGGGTCTGGAGGGCCCAATGATGTATTGCAAGTAAACACAGTATGACATAGTCATAGTTTAACCGTGTTTTATCATACTTCTGTCAACAAGCGTATTGCTCAAGGACCCCAACTCTATATTTCACCATGGCTCAGGCTCATGGCTCACAAAGATGTTGTCCGCAGTCTTTCCTGTTGGCCTTGGAGGTCCTTTGCATAATTATAGCTGAGCCGAATTGAATAAACTGTTGGCTTACCCAACCGACTCCAACCAATCCAGCTCTTGGATTAGAGACATGGCCACGTGGCCACGGCTGTGGCATGTTGTGGCCTTGTTTTGGAATCATTTCTCAGAGCTCAATTCCTCAACTATGCATGTCAACAACACCAACCATTATGAGGCTTGGTGTCGATAGACATATGATAGACTGACATCTTCTCATGACTAAGAGTTTCTTGTATAAAACATGATAAAACCACTGGTATGACGCCCTGATGGTCCCAATGGATCCGGACGTTGCACCCTCTTCACCCGCAGCTCCAGTCCCAGCCGGACCAACACCGCTCTCGGGCGCCCCACTCCACTCGGCCCCTCGGTGCTGGTCGCCACCGGCCCGCAAATGACACAGGCGCGGCTGTCGCGGCCCTCGCACAGCCAGCACGGGCCTATCGGTGCGCCCAGGCCGGGGTCAGGTGCGGAGAGAGCGGTGGTGCACCTACTAGTGGGACCAGAAGCAGTGGTTTCAGAGGTTGGTTGGATGGCACTGGCCCCCCACCGAGGAGGTTTTGTATATGAGGGGTCCATCTAGACCACCAAACTTGGGGCTGCCAGCGCCATCACTTGGGGGTGCCAGTGCCATCTCTGTTTCTCCAACTTTGCAAAAAAAAAAAACGTGCACCGTCGCCACCGAAGTGGTACCAGGGGTAGGAAGTAGGTCAGCTATGACTCCGGGTGACATGCAAGGTGTCAACACAACTCACCTAGCACTTCCAATGTGTGCCCTGTCTGGAGACCAATCTAAGTGGGTTGTCCAGGGTGACCCGTCGCAAGAAGCCGCGCTGTGAGTTGGACGGAGGGACCAACGCCTGCTCTGCTACAGTGTCCGAGGTGCTTCGCGAGCACGCCCGATGCCCTAGGCCCCTGAACGCCCGATGCCCCCCAAACCGGAACAGGATTGAAGAGGTGCGGCTTGGGAGATGAGTGATGTGCAAAGTGTAGCAAAAAAACACCATGATCTACCGTGACTTCTGCTTCAAACACCTCACAACCTACGATGAAGCCGACCCAAAAAGCGACTGCGACCGTTGAATATGTTGGGCTCGGCAAGCTGCTTGGCATCGGTGATCTCCAATGGGCTTCGTTGGCATTGTCTTGTTTCTGATCGTTTGAAAACGGAATGTGTCTGGATGTTTGATGGATGGTGCTTTTCTGATTGTTTTCGTTGCCGCCCAAAGGTGTTATCTTCGGAGTCGTCTGATGATAAAGAGTATACCACAACGAGTATAGTGTGTATGTGATAGCTAGCTGTTCTTTCCTCCAAGGTCGCAGCTCAGCAGCTCTGACAGGTTTGGACATGATCTGGTCAAACATCATGCTGGGCAGCTCCAGCTTCCAACAAACAAGTTGAAAAGTTGAGCACCCTGAAAAAAGCAGTACAGTAATTACAGGGAAAGGGCTTGGACCCAAAAAAGACATTCCAGCCACGCAAGATCACCGTTTCTTCTTTTGGAAGCCTTCGTAACACTGACCAGCACCGTTTCCTGAACCACCCAAAACACCGCCGCAGTGAACTGTGGCGCCTTCACCGCCCATGGCGATGGCACCAGCTGTAAAAGCAGTGGTAGTTAATCGATTTGGTTGGTTCAAGGGTATCATAAAGTACAGTGACAGTATTCCGAGAAAGGTCTTTGACAAAATATTAACTACAGGAATCGGAATTCGAGGAGGATCACACAACTTTCCGCTTGTTGTATATATTAGGCCAGCAACTTGGAGGCATTACGGGAATGAAGTGGCTAGTGGAGTTCCATTTTGTATATTGGAATCAAAGGAATGTCAAATTGCATTCAACACCAACAAACAAGTCCCATGGTTTCACAAATTCACTAGCACAATCTTGGCCACTAAGAAATTCAACACTTGCTTCCTGATGTTGTCACTCACCGCCTGAATTCTTGCTATGTCTTGGACACATGGCAACGCCGACTGACTCGTCACTGACTCGCCGGCGACTCGGGAATCCGATCCCCCAAGGTCTTGGGTCCTGGACCCGACTTCACAGGTGTGTTTCCTGGTGACCTTCGTCCCGGTGCCCCCAAAACCCACACGAACTTGGGGGTCCCCTCAAGGGTCGCCTGCCCGTCCTGGTACGGTGACCATCCGGACCGTCCGGACCCCTGGGGGGGGGTCGGGAGACCGCTAGAATACACGGCCAGGCGACTGACCAATCAGTGCGTGTCCAGGGTCTTCGATTCCAGTCCCATGTGCCGTGTCGAAATGGAAATGGAGCCCCTGAACCTCGTAGCATGCTACTGCCCCTGTTTGGGTGAGTAACCCGGATGAAAAACACCTGAGGGGGGGCTCTCAGCCTGTTCAGCCACATGCAAAGTAACACTACCAGCACCCCCGGTTTCAGTGGTGTCTAAAAGTTGCCCCTTCACGGTCATCCGGGATGCCCATTAACCACCCCAAACAGGGGCTCCTGGTAGGGGTCTGCCGTCTGCCGTCGCAGCGAATTCCATGTCGAACAGCGAAACGAACTCTCAGCTCTAGAGGTCATCCACACAGGCATGGAGAGTAAATTAACAAATAATGATATATAATGTCAGACCCTAGGGATCCAGTCGTACCTTCTCAGCAGGTACTTGGACCCTCCAAACCCCTACATAACAGTGACGAACACATCACCGTACCTGAGGTTCGGTACGACTGGATGTGTAGGGAAATATGTCAGATGATGTCAAATAGTAATTTAATCATTGATCTAATTGCTGTTACTTCATGGAGGCCAAAACGTTGGAGCGTCACAACCGACTCCAGGACCGACCTAGGGTCGTTGGTCACGTATATCGTCACCTCTCGTCCGGCCTGCGATGATCGATCAGTCCGTCCACTCGGTCGGAACGGTTCCAATCGGAAGCCATGTCCACCAGTCATGGGCTCGACCGATTCATCACCCCCCTCCATGGGCTTAGGATGGTTTTACAATCATGCCATGTCTCCAGGGGATTTGATGAATCAAGAGTCTACATTAGGGAATGACCGGGAACCCGTTCCTGCTCGCACGTTCCACCACGCCTTTCGCCTGTCGCACGTTCGGGGGGGTTATGATGCTATATAAAGTCTACTACCCTGAGAACCATTGGACCCTCCGGAGGGTTTTGACCCTGCATAGCAAGAAACAATTGGACCCTCAAAAACCTTCACCTTTGAGGGTCCTTGATTCGCTTAGGCCCCACATGGCCCCACTCTATTCGACTCGGTGCGAGTCAGGACCTATGAGTCACTGCTGTTCTGGCCGCCCACTCACTCGCGTGCGATGTGACTCGTGTGGCGAGCCATCCCTTTTTCGGCACCGTCCACGGTGAGTCTGTCTGACTTCCCTGAGACTTTCGGTAGGGGCGGGACTTCCTTCATGTTGTTCCAGGTCCTTCACCTTTGAAACCTCAAACAGGAGGTCTTCAGAACACCGAGGCCGACCGAGGCGTCCCCCATCACTGGTTGGTGTCCCCCATTTGTCGGTGACCCGTCAGTGGAGCAGACCCGAACCCGTCGAGACGATTCTGGTCGGTGAATCCTTTTTCGAAGGGTGAACGTACTTGGTCTAATCGTCTACACTCCAGAAAACTAACATAGACCCTGACAGTGGGCCCCTGGAAGATTGCTTTCCTCTACCAACTAGTGGTTTTCTGGGTCCATGTTAGTCTTCCAGGGTGTAACCATCAAGTGATGCTTGGATGCGCTGTTTTTTCGAATGCCGGGAACAAATAGACATATTCCATCATATTCCCCATGATTTCATAGAGAACATCAACATCACCCGAGCAAAACCATGCATTGTGTATTTCTTTCAAAAGCTACTCTTGAACTCTTGTGTTCTTCAATCCTAAAAAACCTTTGCCCTCAAGTTGGAAAGGGTTGGGTTCGGGTTCGGACCCCTGGGTTGGGTTTGGGTGTGACCACGCTCCCATGGAGGGCCCAAGGACTCTATTCGAGAGGATCATACTTTGGGGATGGATTCACTTCACTCAGTCATTATATCCCCTAGGGCTCCAAGCACCTTCTAAGAAGGTGTTTGGGGTGGGTTTGGGGGGGTCCAAACACCTTCTGAGGATGTACTTTGAGCCCTAGGCCTAGGGATCATTATATGATTACATGGTCCTCGCAGCACCACGCATGCCATCGCGACCTCAGTTTGTCCTTGCAGTAACTGTAACTGGAGGGCTTTACTGAGAACGAGAACACATTCTGATTCCAGGAAGAAGGAACTTCTGCAAAGCGGGGAACGATAACACAAAGACTCCATGGGGACTGACATATCTATACCTACACATTGGAGTGGTTGATGATTTCCCGGGTCCTGCGCGCTGCCATTGGGCATATTGACTCCGGTCCCAAATAGGTCGTGTCTGGGTAGCAACAACGACTTCTCAGCACCCTCGTCCTCTGTCCCCACCACCTCATCCGCTACTCTCTTGCTCCCAAGAACCGGGACCACCTGTCTGGGTGTGTTGGAGTGCGTCCAGCCCGGCGCCCACGACCTATGGGGATCTCCAGACAGGATGGTCCTGGTCTTCCCCAGTTCGGGCATTGACCAACATCTTTCTGTGCTTTCAAAGGTCTGTGAACGTACGCTTGAGGGATTGACCCAGTTCAGGAATATCAACATCACCACCAATCCTCATGCTCCGACCCGGTCCCCCCCTCTCGTGCCACTCTCCCCTGCGACAATCCGCATGGCCCATTTTGGCACTAGGTTCGCGTCTCTGCGCCGAAGATCACTTCGTCTGGCTTGGCTTTCAGCCCCCCAGGACTGGACGAAGATGGTGGAGATCCACTCATCCAAGACCTGCACGGACTGACTTGAATCCTCCAGTGACTCAGGGAGGAGGAGGTTCACCACCACCATTTATTTAATAGCCTCTACCGAACAAGCAAGGATTTGCACTACAAAACCAGATCAACCATTTTAAAATGGTCTTGGACTTTTAGGGTTTCAGGTTCTGACAAACAGGGATCCATCCTGAAAAGAAGGGACATAAGAAAACAAAACAAGGATGTCCATGGGGGGCATCGCAATTTTTAGGGGTATAATATATGGATAATTAAATGATTAAGTTTTTGATGTGTGTGGCGAGGAATTGGAAGCAGAGCTGGATGTCAAGTGGCCCATTTGCTCTGCCACTCCACAAGGTTTTGCCCCACCCACAGGCAGCCTCGTCCGCATGCATCTCCTCGAGCATGCGAATCCCGTTGAGCAAGACCTCGCGAGCCATGAAGGGTTTCCTGAAAACCAACAACCAAAGAGATCCTTTGTTGTCACTGATGACACATCCGAAAAATCCATGTTTAACTTAGGGAAGACACCAACCTTAATTGAATGCAAACCGGTCCCAAAACCCGTTTCTTTTTGTTCAACTGGCCATGGTGTGACCCTCACAGGTCCAACACGTTTTTCAACGGAGGCTTTCAGAAACTGGGCAAACATGGGCAAACCATTTCTCTGTGGTTCCGTTGCCTGAGCTAGGATCTCATACTCTCATAGAGTCTCATAGAGTCTCATAGAGCCTCATATCTGCTTTACACATGTACGTTTACTATCTGATTGTCGGTTGTGAACAGAAAAAACAAAAAACGCGACTGTCTCCCTCAAGGCCGTCAACTGAGTTGCCCTGGGCCGCTGCGCGCGCTACGGATATCGGGCCATGCCTGCAACGTGGTCCGCAGGGTGCTCTTCCCGTCCACGTCAGCCGAAATGCCTCGGTCGGGCTGTGCCATCGGAACGCTGGCTACGTACGTGCCGGCGTGGCGCGTTTGGATGCAAAGGGCCGCCATGTTTGTGGGGTTTTAGGGTGGGGAGGGAAAGTGGTCATGGTGGCGAAGTCATCCAAGCACATCCTCAAAGGCAGGGCTGACCCCTGCGAGCCCTGGTTGGAGCCCGAATTATAGGGATGAGTGATTCCAAAGCATGGAACAGTTCTAGGATCATTTCTTGGAAAACCTCAAGGAGTGCAGCCAGCAAAGCTCGTACCATTTAGTGTTTGCCCTGGCGACCATGGAGTGCATGCAAGGAGACAATGGGAAGGTTTCCAACATAACACATTACAATTTACACTCATGAACCGGCTTCTTCAAAGTGATCTCATGCGTTCGTCCCCAAGTGGCCATGTACAGGCCCAAGTCAAGTGACCTCAAACTGATAATATCAAAAGGTCACTTCGAAGAGCCTAGGACATAATCGTGGATGGCACCACCACCTGTTTGGTATTCGGAGGGTCCTCCGAGTGGTCCCATGTCATCTACGGCTAGGCCCATGCGGAATGCAATACAGTCCACCCTTTTGCGAGTAGAAGCAGCGCCGACGGCACCATCCACCTATTGAAGGCATGTGATGGCTGTTGGATGCTGGGCACAATGGTTCGACACCCTAGGCACCCACCCTAACCACCTTCTCAGGAGGTAGTTGGAGCCACGTTGGAGCCCAAACGGGCATGTTCATGTTGATCGATTCAAACATTTCCGTTCCGAAGACCCACGCACGAAGCTCCGAGTTTCCTGCTGCGGCGGGCCGTGTTTGAACAGAGACTTTGACGTTAAGCTGCCCTTGTGTTCGACGCGTGCTGACTTGGATTGGGGATATCT